GAACCTAGAACTGAACTAGAACTGAACTACAGAACTGACACTAGACACTGAACATGAACTGAACTTAGAACTGAACTAGAACTTGAACTAGAACTGAACTAGAACTGAACTAGAACTGAACTAGAATGAACTAGAATGAACTAGAACTGAACTAGAACTGAACTAGAACTGAACTAGAACTGAACTAGGAACTGAACTAGAACTGAAACTAGAACTGACCTAGAACTGAAACTAGAATTGAACTAGAACTGAACTAGAACTGAACTAGAACTGAACTAGAACTGACTAGCACTGAACTAGAACTGAACTAGAACGAACTAGAAACTGAACTAGAACCTGAAACTAGAACTGAACTAGAACTGAACTGAAAATTAACTAGAACTGAACTAGAATGACTAGAACTGAACTAGAACTGAACTAGAACTGAACTAGAACTGAACTAGAATGAATTAGAACTGAACTAGAACTGAACTAGAACTGAACTAGAACTGAACTAGAACTGAACTAGAACTGAACTAGAACTGAACTAGAACTGAACTAGAACTGAACTAGAACTGAACTAGAACTGAACTAGAACTGAACTAGAACTGAACTAGAACTGAACTAGAACTGAACTAGAACTGAACTAGAACTGAACTAGAACTGAACTAGAACTGAACTAGAACTGAACTAGAACTGAACTAGAACTGAACTAGAACTGAACTAGAACTGAACTAGAACTGAACTAGAACTGAACTAGAACTGAACTAGAACTGAACTAGAACTGAACTAGAACTGAACTAGAACTGAACTAGAACTGAACTAGAACTGAACTAGAACTGAACTAGAACTGAACTAGAACTGAACTAGAACTGAACTAGAACTGAACTAGAACTGAACTAGAACTGAACTAGAACTGAACTAGAACTGAACTAGAACTGAACTAGAACTGAACTAGAACTGAACTAGAACTGAACTGAACTGAACTAGAACTGAACTAGAACTGAACTAGAACTGAACTAGAACTGAACTAGAACTGAACTAGAACTGAACTAGAACTGAACTAGAAACTGAACTAGAACTGAACTAGAACTGAACTAGAACTGAACTAGAACTGAACTAGAACTGAACTAGACTGAACTAGAATTGAACTAGAACTGAACTAGAACTGAACTAGAACTGAACTAGAACTGAACTATAACTGAACTAGAACTGAACTAGAACTGAACTGAACTAGAACTGAACTAGAACTGAACTAGAACTGAACTAGAACTGAACTAGAACTGAACTAGAACTGAACTAAAACTGAACTAGAACTGAACTAGAACAAGTGAATATGAACGATACATTTTAATATCGGTGTAGAAATATAACCATTTATGTATACAGTTGAAGGTTTTTAACACATTTTATGTACTATAATCGTATATACATATGTGTTTACTTTTCCACATAAACTGTGTATATAAATATGTACATATTCGAATAAATAAAAAACTCTTCATCCTAAAATAAATTACCACAAGTCTTATTTCTATTCAAAAAATAGCTTAATTCAAATGTGTTACTAAAAAGACAGAAGAGAAAAAATTAAAAAAAAAATAAAAAATTAAACAACATCAACTCAATTCATATAAAATCAGTGTTAATTGCCAAGATTAGTAAGTTATTGTGCATGTATGATATTTTTTTCCTTTAGATATTTTTCCTACTGCAGTGCTGTCGTTTGGTTTTTATCAGTTTTTAATAATAAAACAAATTCACACAATTCACAAGTCTCTTTTATAAAACTAAAAATATTCCATATGGAATTTTTATGCAACCTGACAATATGGATTTGTATGCATAGCAAAAAACAAAAAAATCGAGAAATTTACAAAATAAATTCGTAAAAAATAGAAAAATAAAATGAATAAATAAAACAAGAATGCACGAACGAGTAATGAACGAACGAACACACAGAGAAAAATCTAAAGTGTTGTTTTTGTTGCTGTTGTTGTTATCAACTTTATATTTTTAAGCCTGTTGGCGGCTGGATCAGAAACTTTACTCTTGACTGCATTAAATTTTCCAGCTCATGAGGATTACAGGTTTAAATGTTTGTTTGTGTGAGAGAGAGTGTGTTTTTTAGTCTACACATGTGTTTGTGTATAAGTAATAGACAACTACTGTTCATAAATACACTCATGAAAAAAAAACATCAACAAAATTTTCTGTTGACAAATTGACAAATAAATACTTTAAGGGTTTTGAGGTGTCTCGTTTTATTAACTAGTTGTTGGTTGATGGTTGAAAAATATAAATGGAATTTAGTTCATCCATATTTTGCTCTTGTTGCTGCTGTTGCGGTGGTTGTTTGCTGCTTGTTATACTTATATATGTTGCAACTTTTTTAAACGAATATAATTGAATTGATAAACATGTCAACAACAGATTTTAGTTTTTTTTATATTTGTATGTATTTTCAAAACCTTGCAACAGATTTAGAAAAGTTGCAGGTAATTGGTTAACGTCAAACTAAGTTTGGTTTTCAAAAAAATACAAATTGTGTATGAGTTTGTGCGTTTTAATATATTTTCCATATCAGTTTAGGTGAGTTATGGATGGATATTGGCCAATTTTAGAATTGCAACAATTGTGGATGTAGGTGTGTATATCAGGCTTATTGGCATGTTTTATAGTTAATAGCAGTTTAACATATATCTTACTTCGAGTGTAATTCTATAAGTCGATGTTTTCTTTTTTAACTCTTTATTTTATATAAATTGTAATTGCTGCCAATGGTCATTTGTACCGGCTGTATAAATTTTTCCAAATAAAAATAATCACAAATATTTACACACAATTGCGTTTGTATATGACCCCAAGTAAAATGCATAGCCCAGCAGTTCGATTACAAATTGTATCTATTTTTTAGGAATACGTTTTTTTGTTTATTTATCGTCTACAGATTACTCGATTACAATTTGAAATGTATACTATCTATAATTATTTATTCTTAATTGCATTCCAAAAAGTAAAGCAATTGGCTACACTTCCGATTTCAAAGAGACACAAAAGTGACGATTATCGTAAAGCTTGATTACCAGGAATATATAAAGTAACTAATTGACTTATAAACAGTACAGATATGATTCATGTCAACTAAGTAGTTAGACATTTGATTGGAGCGCACAACAGGCCCGATAGTGGCCTAGGTGTATTTCTTCGGATTTGATGTAGTATACATCCTCCTATCAACCTAACCTAACCTAACCTAGACATTTGATATTCATTAGTTATATAGTAAATTTGAAAGGATGATACATCAAATCCTATGAAATACATCTAGGCTTCCTGCGGATCTGTTGTACGCGCCTTTACCAGTGTCTCCGGTATACAGAGGGAAAAAGAAATATACACGCCGGGTACCAAATTGACACCTAGGATTTTATGATTTTTCAATAACATCCGTGGTCAAAGTATATACATACATACGTACGACAACACTATGTAATGTTGACAACGCAACGTTGTAAATATTGCAACAATCCGTTGCTAATAGTGAGCTTACCACGTTTGTTAACATTTAGACAACTTATGTGTATGAAATTTAGATTTCGACAACGAATTGTTGCAATGTTGTCAACATTACATAGTGTTGTCGTACGTACGTATGTATGTATATACTTTGACAACGAATGTTATTGAAACATTATAAACAATTTGGTGTCAATTTGGTAACGGCGTGTATATTTCTTTTTCCCTCTGTGTAGCAATCGAACCTATGACCTCCTCGGAGGAGCCCCAGTCTAACAGACTAGAACATTGACAACTAACCTACCGCAGACACACTGGTATACATTAAATATTTGTAAAACTATTGGGTTTTTTTTTCGAAAGGAAACATTTACTTTGGTTGCCGTGCACCCATTAAACAAATAAAAAATAAATAAAATAAAAGAATAAAATGACTGGCACCGGGGCGCGTTACAAAATGTTAATAAATTGTTGTTAAAAATGAAAATAATTAAATTTAAAGCCATTCATAAGCGTTACTTAAAAAAACGAACAAAAATTGAGGAATTTTTCTGCAAAATTTATTGATAAAAACGAACAATTAAAACAGAACAGTGTGTTAAAAACAAAAAGGGAGATAAAAATTAAATTAAATCTTTAATGTTGCAAAATATCATATAAATTATTGATGACAAAGTGAAGGGTTTTTTTTTGCTTTAAACCGAAAATAAAACTATAAAATTCCAGTTAAATATTTAAGAAAATAATTAAATGGTTATTGAACAAAGTTTTTGGTTTTTTTTTGTAAATCTGATCAACACTTTAACAAAAAACAAACAAAATTTCCTAAAATGAATTCTTAAAATTGTATCTTATCTGACATGAAAATGTTATTATAACAATTCGATTAACATTTTCAACTCCCATTTTTCTTCTATTTTATTCCACAACTTATCTATTTAAAATATGACTAAAGGACATGCCAAAAAAAAAAAAAACTGTTTATTTCCTTAAATATAAACTAACCTCAACGCAAATCTTCGTCGTCTCTTGAAAGAAAATGCAAGAACATTTTTCGAAAAAAATACAAAATAACAAAAACATCAACTTCACTATCAAGTTCAAACATGAAGAAGATAAAAAAAAACTATAACATACATATTTTGAGTTTGAAAAGAAAGTAAGAAAACTTAATATGATATTCAAGATTTTACCCCTCAACTTATTTTGAGTTTATCCTTCAAAAGCTGCTCTACTGCATGGCAAAAGTTTTCCCATTAAACTGTCGGTGAATTTTTATAAAGAAGCATACAAAGAGATAAAGACAATAAATATAGTTTTAAAAGAGACTTAGAAAGAATTTTTAACCCTTTAATAACGGAAACTATAGAAAATCAAATTAAAATTTAATTTTAATAATTTTTTTAGATTAATTTTGAACATAACTTTTTATAAACATGTTGATATTCAAAAAATAATTTCCTTCAACTAATTGAACATTTTTCCTATTTGTCTATTTAAAGGATTATCCCACACAAATCGATTTTACCCAACCCATGTCAATGGCCCATCTGCAACCGGTCTCACAAGCCTCCATGATAAGCGGTACAATTTTGACGGCTCAGCCGATGGGCAACGGTGGTGCTGGCACCTTAAGGCGCGGCATACTGAAAGGTGTCTCACAAGTGCCACCGCCTGATGTAACACATCATACAACAACAAATATGGGAGGAGTACAATTACTGCACGATTTACATCCTCTGAATATATCATCTACCTCGTCAACACTAACAACCACTTCAAGTTTGGGCAACGGAAGTCTCATGTCAGTGCCAACATCGACACCCAAACAGCCACAAAGTATATTAAAGGATCCCAATCGTAGTAAGCATCAGCATCAACAGCAGCCACCGACACTGATAAATACCGGTTTGTTGGCCATGTCAGGACCGCCTGGCAGTTTACAAGTTCTAAATATACCAAATTCGGCCGGCATTAGTAATAATTTACTAATGACCGCCAGTGCAGCATATGATCCCACAAATCCACACAGTCTGACAACCTTCAATACTTCGGGGGCTGCAGTAGCTTTTACTGATGCCGATGGTCATCTCGTATAGCTGTAGGATGCCTCACAAGGGGCTCTATTAACGGTAATTACTGAAACATCACAGCCAGCAAATAACATGTCATTACCCCGCTACTGAAATGAGGCATCTAGCAAAAACCAAACAATAAAAACAAGAAAAAACCATACATGTATGAATGTTTTCAAAATACTCATTAAGGATACAAAACAACAACAACAACAAAAACATATATATTATTAGGTATACTATAACAACAAGAACACATGCATTAAGAAAGGACTACTCTTAGAGAAGTTAAGATGAATTTAGTAGAACAAGTGGTCCGTACGTCTGTTCGTGCCCTTGAACTCAACTCAACAGCATAAAATAACTACTTACTAGCACCCCAAGTACAGTCTGCTGGTACAATTGTGAACAAAATAATAGCAGTGCTGCAGAATCAATAAACTGTACAATAATCTGCCAAAAAAAATTACAAAAAAAAAACAACAAAAAAGTAAGATGTATTAAATATATAAAGACATGTACTGATTTATAGTCAAATTTAATAAAAAATTTTTTAGTATTAATTTTATGTAATTTTTAAGATACACCTTTATTTTTGTGCCCACAACTGTATAATTAATACAATACAATACGACTTAATTAATCTAATTTAATGTAATTATAAATCAAGTTTTTCGTATTTGATTTCAATACAAATTCATTTCGTTTATACCATTTATGGCAGCTAATCAATACTAATCAATAAAATTTTCATTGTAAGAGAAATAAAACAAAACAATTTAATTTTATTTAGTTAGAGTTTATAAGAATATTAAAAAACAAATAAATAAAATAATTATAAAACAAATACTAACTCATTAATACATAAAACTAAAACAAAGAGAAAAAAAATAGTTTAACAACGAATAATTTTCTTTAACAATTAAGTTTCTTTTAAATATGATTTTGTAATTTATAATTAAATTAATATTTTTTTTTTTCAACTCAACAAAAATCTTTTTTAGTTTTTAGCAAATACGAAACCAAAAATAAATTTAAACAAAAAAAATAATAAAAAATTAAGAATATGGCAAAGCCAATATAGACATACATGAAAAAAAACTTAAAAAAAACATGAAACCAATAATAATTGACAAATTATTTAACCTCACACCACTACATAAGTATTTCAAAAGTTTTCATACAATTCTCGAATTCTTTTTGCTAATTCAAAAGAAAAAATTCAACTTTTTCTTTGTTTCCGGCATTTCTACGTCTTCCAAAAACAAATTGTTCTTTATTGAATTTCTAAAATTTTTATTGGTGGTTAAGGCTTCATATCTTAAGTTAACTCATTTATTTTAATCTTAAATATTAATAATAATAAACAAAAATATTTATAATTTTCATCATATTGATATTATGATAATGAAGAAGACTTGTGTTAATTGTTAAATTATGATCTTCAGAGGCATAATTGTTATAAGTTTTGTATGAAATCATGTTTTTTTCTTAAATATTATTTAAATTATTTTGTATTTTTGTTAACCAGAGTATGAATGAATGAAATGAAAATTAAACAAATAAAAATAGTTAAAAATACAATTTTCAATAATTATTTTGTGTATTGACTTATAATAATTATGTGTAAAGAAAACAAAACCTTTATATCTTCCAATAAATAGTTTTAAAATTGTTTTTAATCATTAAAAAAGAAATTGTTTTATTTATTTTTTTTAAGTTGTTGGCGAATGATAAAAACGTAAATTGCCAGTTCAAGTCCCTATCTTCATATAGGGACTTGTAGCAGCGAACTAAAGTATTATTTGATCTCCACCACACAGCGGTTTAGAAACTTTTTCTATTCAGTATCTCTGGAAATATTGGAGATATAGTAACGAAATTTCACATGGTTGGAGCTGAGAAGTTTTCGAGACCTCAAAATTGGTCCCGTCAGGTATCACATATACAAAACTCGACAAAGATCCATTTAAGATCCAAAATTGGTCACCCATGTATCACATTTTCATAAGAAAATAATTCCAATAATTCGTTTATGATCCGAATAAGCATAATTTAAAAATATAACTACTCCTTGAAAAGTTCTATAAAAACATGCTTACAAAAGATACATTTAGGTTTAATTTTTTTAATTTTAAAAATATGCCAATCTTTTTTTAGTTTTTTAGATGTGGTAAACCGACGGAGGGCCTCAAAATGGTTTAAAAATATCTACTGGTTTTCAGATAAAACAAGAGAAACTTCCATAGAGTTATCTTATTCCTATGAAAAGTTAAAAGCATCCAAAGTTGCAACATAAAAAAGCTTTCAGGTTTTTTTATAGAAAAGAATTTCTTTGGGTACTTTAAAAAATATTTGTATGATCCGGAAAGAGCTTATAGAAAAAATAAGCTCATTTAGGTGGGTCAGAAAGGTAACAATTTGCAGGCAAATTTCGATTATTATTCCTGCCCCCCAAAAGGAAAATTGTCTTTGGTGCGACTAATTATTCCGTCGGTTCCAGAACTAGTAATAAATTTTAACTCAATCGGATAATAAAAATTAGCTTTTTCTATTTTAACATAATTAGGTTTGGTTAATAGAAGGATGTATACTATGTATAAAATCCGAAGAAATACACCTAGTGGTCTAGGGGCCTGTTGTGCGCTCCTAAGAATTTTCCAATCAGTGTTAGTCAGGAATGTTATTTTCGGAATAACATCACTTCCAAGATACTTGGATCTAACTTCGACGAATGCCTGACAGTGGCAAAGAAAGTGCTCCAGAGTTTCGCTGTCCTCTCCACATGCTCTACATTCGTCTGAATCCGCACGTCCAATTTTGCATAGATGTGCTCCTCCACTCAGAATACGTACCATCATACTATCCTAAGACTTACTCATTTTGAGGAGATTTCTCTTCTAGCATTCATCAGGGTCACCCCATAGGATCTTTGTGGTTCTACCCACCTAATCATTAATCCAATATGCCTTATTGGATTATCTCACTTATATTTTTAATTCAACTTTTGTTGGGTCGAAAGGTTTTGCGTTCGTCAGGTTCGTTGCCGACTCCTCCCGAGTGGCCTTGTATCCATATGATGTATGGGTACAGAATATTCTGGAAGAATATCTTAGATTTAATTATATTACCTGATATCGCCCTAATATATTCTAATCCAATTTACACATTCCGTTATTGCTCGGACTTCTGTCTGGAGTTATAATTAGGTAAATGGGGCTATATCTGTTTCACGGTCTTCAATTTAGAGCTATCCGTGTAGCAACGAATGCCTACTGGTATTTGCTCTAATGTTCCGCTTGACCGAGACATTATATCTGGGATCAGCGTTTCCGACATATTCTGTGACTGGTATACGATCAGGCACATCCGATGATTGTGTATAACCTTCTAATGTATCCAGTATACATTGATGACGTGTCCTATAACCGCTTTTGGCCAGTTCGCCTAAAGTAAAGAGACGTTCGGCTGTAAGCGCCATTAAATATGTTTCAATGGGTGGAATATCTAGCAACGTTTCCAGAGTCTTGGTTAAAGTAGTACACATGGCACACGATTGAGCCCGTCTCAAGTGCACGTTTTTGAATGTGCTTTCAATTCATACCGCCAGTGTATACAGTTTATTATCAAAGGATGCACCTATGTAGTGGAAAACTTCGTTTAAAGCGGTTTCTACCGATCGTCCCTTTGCATAAGCATGCTGCTTAAATTTTAGGTCTTTGTCGGGTATACTGCTTTTAACCATATTTTAAAGGACATTGTCCCCTATGTAACAAACATATAAGTATTTTACTTGTTTTTTATTCCATTAACCAAAACGAAGGACAGACATTGTTAAAAAATGTTGCCATTGTTGTACTTTACAAAATCAGTCACTGCAAACAAGTTCATAAATTACACAAAACATCAATATAATGTGTTTAATTCCTCTTTATTAAAGATTTATTTTTTCTTATAAATAGCGTAACGAAAATAGCCAATTAAATTTTAAAAAGAAAAACATAAAACTTTTCCATCCTAAGCTGATTTGTATAAGAAACAAAAATAACAAATAAATGCTCTGGTTATTCATAGCAGAGAGTTTTTTTCTAACTACAACAATAATAACTTTAAACTGCTCTAGTTAGCAGATAGTATTTAGCAAATAGTCAATTTGTATAAGCCACCTAAGACTGTGTGAAAGCAGCTGGACATAGAAAATGTTTATTCTACTGCTCCTGTATTTCTATTTACTGACAACTAAAATATAAAGCATAGTGAATTTAATATAACATCAATGTGTCAACACATGTGGTCACAGAAATAGTGGTGAAGGTTGTTTGTATTGTAGAATAATTTGAAAATAAAATAATATATATTTAAAAGCTTGTTTAATGATTTAACAAGTGATATTGGAACAATAGCCGTTTAACAATGCCTGAAGAGACCAGTTAAAGTCGGCTCACAGTGTCATTACTTGAGATGACACTGCCACTTGGGTAAACAGTGGCGCTGTCAGGTGGTACCCACCTCGTTTTAACCCCTGCAAACGGCTGTTTGCCTGCTAAGATGAGAGACATTTTGCTCAAGTGCACGAGTTAATTTCCGAAATGCAAAAACTTCACTTCCATTTACAACCACGCAGATGGGATGGCCTCTGTTGAGTCGTCAACAGCCGACGTATTCCGTAGACCGAAACACGAATACATCAAATAATCCGAGGACTTGTTCTTACTCACAGAGAACACACTGTGGTAAATCAGGTATGATCGGAGTAAACCATGAACGTACTTGGACATGGAAGAAAAATTCAATGGTATCACTTGTATAATATACCTTACATCCATCACCATTTAACCCAGTACACTTCTCATTCATGCGACACACTCATTGAGAACAACATCCGACACACTCACTCAAGGTATACGTGTTGGTGAGATCCGTATACCCCTACATTCATCCTGTATCAAATACACTTAACAGCAACTCATTCCCAACGCTTAGTCTCAAAGGCACTCTGTTGTATCGGCAACAGCAGAATTAAAGATTTCACCGTGCATCAGTTTTTTAACCGACATTATCTTCCCCCAACCTCTCCAACCGGAACAAGACAAAGTCAGAAAGTCTTCCCTGTAGGCTATCGGTTCCCGTGGTATCATATTATGTGGTTCTCAGTTTCGACCTCATTTCAAATCATTTCAAAGAGAGCGAGGCTATTTTTGATCATCACCAGTTTATAGTCCCGGCAGTCTAGAGGTATCGGTAGCACCTCCTTTCCCCCGGATTGATGGGTGGGGGAAATTCATCCGCCGCTGCGGATCATATAGAAGTACGAACAGCTATAGCCCGTCTGAAGAATAATAAATCCACTACCTAGGGATAAGTCTCACGATACATAAACTCTTGGAGAAAACAATGGAAATACAAATCGACACTCACTAGCTATTTGTCGACTATAAAGCTATGTTTGATAGCCAAATAAGGGAAAAAATTCTACGTTGGTATTTCTGAACTTGGTATTCCCACGAAGATTGTCCGGCTTTGCATTATGACGATGAAGATCACTAAGAGTGCTGTGAAGATAGGAGCAAACCCCTTTTTCGACAAGACGATGACCTATCCTACGACTTTTTCAATTTGCTGATGAAAAAAATCTTGCAGGAGACGAAAGTTAGGACCATTGGCAATATTCATATATTTAAGAACCGGGAGTAATAGCAACAATGATGTTAGTTTGGAAATCAAGCGAAGAATAACAGTTGCAGATAGGTGCTTTTTTGGACTTAGTAAGCAATTAAAGAGTGCTGAAACGTAGACAATAAAGTAGTTGGATAAGTAAGCGCTGGCGGGGTTCGAAAGGAAAATTGTCCGATAGTTTCCGGATTAGGATGAAACATAAGCTCTATGGAATTTATGCGGACTAAAGTGTATTAAAACGTACTAAAGTCCAAAAGTTGCGCAGGCTTGGACACGTATGGTGTATGGATAATCATGCCCCAGGGATGAACCTATGGATGTGACTAAACGAAAAAAATACGACCCAAATGCTGTTGGGATGAACAGGTACAAAAGGATCTAAAAAGCACTTAGTTGCTATAACCAACTGGCGGCATCACGCATTGGACAGAAATAACTGTTTAATATTTTCTTGAAGAAAATTACTAGTCGACAACGAAGACTTGTAAGTATTGTAAGTATTCAATTAATACTTTGAATGGTTCAACAATAATTATTAACAACTATTTCTCTGTCCACATGTGTAACTGACAACTAGAATATATGTATGTGTGTATATAAAGCAAACTAAATTTGTATTACAACAACTAAATATGTATGTATCTGTGTTATAAACTTTGTACACATTCATACATAAATGGCCAACATTGTTAGATTAACATTAGAATATAAAACAAACTTCACATCTATTCTAACTGATTTTTACTGGTGTCTGTGCGCGTATTTATTTAAGTATATATTTCTATTACTATTTGTACTTGTTGTTAGACTTTGATGGCGATAAGTATCAAAGTTGCGT